GGAAAGAGTTCGTCTAGGGAAGTACTCCCACCTTACCTATTTCTGCGGTTTTTTAAGGGAATGGTGCTGTTGAAAATACAGGCACATGGAACTTGTTAGCTTATGTCTCTGGGTGACAGACGCAATGCAGTTGCTTTCAGATCTTTGCGATTTAAAGTCACTTGATCGTATTTAAAAAAAAAGTTATTTTTTATGTTATGTTACTTTCTTTTTGTCCATTTATGGTGCCACTGAAAACCAGCGTAATGAGGCGTTCTTCAACGTCTCATTACACAAAGCTGAGTGGTGACCGTTTTGGTAACATATAATGTATGATTGTGTTTGTTTTGTATTATTTATTGTAAAATGTTGCCAAATAAATTATTTTTCTTTCTTTCTTTCTAACAATTTAAAGAAAAACCTTAGTTGCCAATATCTAGGAAGTTACCAAAATACAAAATGCGTTAGTTATGACAAGGATGCCAGTACTTGTATTGCCTTCTTTGAACACAATCTATATTGTTATGGAAGTAAATAAATAAATATCTTTCGTGAATGGTAATAATAATAATAATAATAATAATAATAACGCACACACTCAACACAGCCCCGCATTAGGGAAGCCCTGTGTCGCGGGTGCCATGGACACACACATAGACAACCACAATTTACACCCAAACTCACGAGAGAAATAAATGTAGGCCATACGAATATTTCTCGTATCTCGGCACGGTAACCGTTCGGCCACGGAGGCAGTTAAATGGTGAAGAGACACATTGTGTTGAAAACTGCATATCAACTTCGAAGTAAGTTCGTAAGCGACACATAAGTCCCATGCGCCTGTGATTTCACCAGAACCCCTTACTTTCAAAACCGGAGCGAGTGAGTTCCCTGGACGAACTCTTTCACAAGGAGAGCTACTGCTACTAAATGGAATTTGATTTTCTTGGTTGAAGATCGTTATTGCAATCGGTTTTCAAACAATGACGGCTGCTTACATTTGTGAACTGGAGGAATTCTGTCTAAGTTTTGAACGGGCTTAGAACGTTAATTTTTTTTTTATTGAACATCATGTTGTCACTCAGAAAATAGTCCAGTAGTTTGTTATAATTATTGATACAAAGGTCGAACAAATACAAACAAAAATTCCCTCGGTTCGACTGCCCTTGAACACCAGCGACTGTTGCTACAACGTGGCTACTGTAGCAGGCTGGTCTGATTATATTGTATTTAGAACTGTCTAAAGAATAAGGTGGGTTTATATTTAGATTTGTATAAGAAAAGGTTGTTGTCAAACGAACGTGGGGAGAGTTCTGGACAAATCAAAGGTTGAGTTTTCCATTCGACTGTATGTTTTTTTTTGTATGCATGTTACGCGAAACTCTATCATCATCATCATTCAATCATTTGACCGATTTTGGATGATTCCATTTAAATTTGAAGAAAATATTTCACCTTTAATTGTTTTCACAAAAAAGGATCCTGAGACCGCTTCCTTGTATTTTCTATGGTTTTGCATTTCCCCATACTGTCCCGTAAAAAAAACACTGTATATATCTTACGTGTGTTGACTTAAATAATTTTATAAATGCTACTGCTGCCAAAGACGTGTGGTCAGGCTTATTGAAAAAAGAGTTAGAGAAAGAGGCAATGAAAATAGTATTTCTCTTCATAGCAATGGCTTCGGTTAACGCTGTCTACTATGATACCCTTTAGGATCAAAAATATCTAAATCCATATATGAAAAACGGCGAAACATTTCTACGTAAGTAAACATTTACTTTATTAAAATAAATTAAGTTTTTATTGAATATCAGGATGTTCACCACCACGATATTCAATTACTTTTTGTGAAATTACTTTTGTGAAAAAAATATGTTATCTTTATACATATAATGAAGGATATTAAAATACGAGCAATGAAAATGAATAAAACTTAAATATGGCAAAAATCTGCCATAATGGTCACATTGTTCTTAATTTCATGTGATGTAGATATTGGCAAGTGGCTTCTAGTCAAAACGTGCCTTTGCTAACTTTCTTATCTCTCGTTTAAATATTGTCTACACATTTTTGTCGCATTGTTTTTATTTGTTACTTTATGTTATTACTATTTAATTGATTATTTCATTAGGTGTTTTACAGCTTTTATGTTTTATGTGTGTAGTATAAAATAACACCAATACTTTAGATTTAAAAACTAGTTGGTGCTCGCGACTTCGTCTCCGTATTACCTACTGTATTACTTACTTGAGAAATGATTTATTCTCCAAATTATCAACCCTATTTCACTCTTTTCAAGTTCAGACCAAAAGTAGTTGTTGAAGAATGAGAAAATCAGCATCAAAGTAACACAATAAAATTATAATTTACAGAGAAAAATACGACCGAAAAACAGAACAGAGCGAACCATAAAAGAAAAAAATATAGACAAAGAGTATTAGAAAAAATAACTTTAAAAAAGATTTATATCTGTCCCATAGTTAATTCCCACACACACATTGGTAGGGTCTGACATACTACCAGATTTGAAAAGTGGAATAACTTTACTTCGTTTCATGAGGTCAGGAAACACACCATCATCAACACGTTTATTAAAGACACACGCTAAGTAAGGCGCAATACAATCAACTATAGAACTAATTACTCTCACTGAAAGACCATCAAGGTCAGCAGTATTTTTTATGTCTATAGACTTAAAGGGTTCAACAATTGGAAATACATGACAGAACCTTAAATTAGTGATACTAACTGCATTATTTTCTTTTAGTAATGATAAGCGGCGGTGGGGGATAAATTTAACGACTTTGTAGTCAAAATTGTAATGTCAGTAAAAAAAAATTAAATATTTTAGCAACTTCTGCGTCTGTGTTTACAATTTTGTCATTAAATCTTAGTTTAAAATGTAAGTTACGAGGTTTGACCCTTCCAGTTTCACTTTTATAATATTCCAAGTCGTTTTAACTACATTCGCGCTGCTTTTAATTTTATTATTTATAAACATTATCGGAACACATGTGATATCCTTTTTTGGCACTTTACCAGTAGTTATATTAAAAGTGGCCAATTGACCGCCGTGATCAGACGTTAATTTATTTATAATAGATTTATTACTAGGTATGGCGTTAGTATAAATGTTGCCTAAACAAGTGGCTGTAGCAGAAGTTATTCTAGTAGGCACCAAGAAAAGATTCACAAGATTATGACATTGGAAAAACGGTATGAGCCTACTGCTAGCACTGGAATCTTCTAATAAGTTAAGATTGAAGTCACCATAAACAGCAATATATTTATTTGATTTATTTAATTTGCCTAAAACTTCATCTAATCTTTTTTTCAAATAATTCGTAAGATGTCTGTACATGCTTTATACAACAAGCCGTTCAAGCTCTCTGCAAGATATCTCTATAGTCCGCTCAATAGATAAGTTCACAATATTTAAACGTGCTTTGAATTTGAAATTATTTTTAATAAGAATTAAAGAGCCGCCATGAATAGCTTTTTCTCTGCTGAATGAACTAGCCAACTGGTGATTGTTGAAGCTAAACATGAACTGATGTTTGGATAAAAAGTGGTGCTCAGTAATACAAAGAATATCAATATTATTACAGTTAATAAATAATTCTATTTCTAACTCTTTGCCTTTCATGCCTTGATTATTTTGGTGCACCAAGTGTAATGTACAATTTATTTTATTTCTATGAGTTTCAAGTTGGTTTTTTACTGTCAATGTATTAAGAATATTTCTCCGTCGTCTTATTAATTAATTTAAATAATTGGAAATTAAATTATTTTTAACAGTTTGATTAATGTCATTAACCGCTCACGCGATTCATGCGTCTCTGGAAGCATATCACACCTAGCGGTGCCGGTGATGATTTTATACCGATTTATCGGACATCGAAGTAATAACAGGTAAAAGAACTAATACTAATTGCTATTTCGGTAACTACTCTAGCAAACCATAAAGTTTTTAATGCCTGGGTCTGTCATTTAAAAAAAATAAACAACTTCAAAAATACGTCACGACAATCGTGTGTGTTATTGTTTGGGCTGGTGATGTCGGTGTTTATTTATTGAAAACATACCGTAAGTTGCGTTTTTTAAGTTTATCCTGAATATAAATGTTTATAAACTATACTTTAAGGAGTAATTTCATGGTAAACATTAGAACCACTCAAACGGAATATTATCATATTTATCCAAGTACACCAAAAATTTCATTAGTGCTTTTTAAGTGCAGGATTTGCGGTGTATTACTGCATTTTATTTGAGATGTTTTTGTTGTAGTACGGAGGGTATTTATTTAGCAATGCAAAGTAATAATTTTTATTTATAAAAACTTGTATTTAAACTGATTCCTTTTCTAATTTGCAAAACCAAATAGCCGCCATTTTGCGGTAGGATGAGCGAATCGCGTGAGCGGTTAAACTGATCTATATCAATGGACTGCTCAGTAGAAGCAGCCGGTCTGGTAGCCAATGATTTGGCTGAATGATTAATATAATTTATTTTATTTTATTTATTTTATTTTATTGAGGGACAAACAGTTACACACATATAAAAAAATACATATTTTAAAATTAACTTATAAATAAACTCATAGTCCCTTAAATATACATTAAATAAAACAAAAAGTAGGTAAACGGAATCTGATACACAACAAACAACACGGAAGAAATAAAAGTATGTATGTGGTCTATGATAAACAATTTCAAGTTATGAATACATACAGCCACAGACATATAGACATAACACATACAACACAAAGAACTCGTACACAGGAACAACGGAACAGAACAAACATATTCAGCAATATGCGTATCTCGTCTTACGGAAACTGCAAGAGTGCACACAGAGGCAACTCGCTGCGCTCAGGACCGGTCGTGTCATTACGTAACGGAGCATAAGTCGTAATTGAATTGAATAATAATCAATACAATGCATTGAGTGAGAAAAAAAATGTTAAATAAAAAGAAGTATAGTCTTTGCAATCCATCAGTGAACCAGTTCAGCTATTTCCAATTTGTGTTATATACAATTTATAATAATAATATTGCTATCACGGCATGCGAGAACCCCGGAAAGACTTACATTGGAAAGAACATACGAAAACATGGTTTCCACTTAAGGTAAGCACAATAGTTAACTAATTATATTACAATTAATTCATTACTATAAATATAATAAAATCTAAATATTAATAAGCTAAATTTCATTTCAGACAATAACATGAATCATAATTAATATTCTTTCAATCAAATCCAGAGATGTTAAATGTGAGCGTCAAACTTTATCAAGAGGAATGAGAATGGGTGGTATGCAGGCCAGAAACTTTAGGTAAGAACAACATATTATACTGCTACTACATACTACTATAGAAAGATTACACATTTTTGATGGTATTACGTAAATGTTAAGCACCAATCATTATTTATTTGTTTTACTGCAGGACTCTTGACTCCATTATAAAGCTCAAGACTCAAGACGGCTCACTTGTTACTAGGAGAACCTATAATCTATTTGAATACCTCACAACCATCGACATAATACGCAAACAAGAGGAAGCAGTGAAAATACAACGAGACAAGTCACACTACAATAATAGACAACAACAAAAAAAAAAAACAAAGAAATCACAAAAACGGTTTGAACATTATTCATCCATAGTATTAGTATTAGTTTTATTTTATATAAGTTCAGTGATGTGGTTTTTAAATCTTAATAGCGACTTATCAAATATTTCTATACTCATTAATTCGCTATTATATAAGGTACATGCTCTCTTTATAAAACTATTACTTCCATAGCAGGTCTTACTTGGTTTAATGGCAAATAGTGGTTTTTTACGACTTGTTCTTTCTTGCTTATAAGGCACACGAAAATAAATTTGTCCCAATAGGAAAGGGGCATCAACCACGTTATGTAATATTTTAAACAAGTACGTGACGTCAGTGATCTCGCGACGTTGCTTCAAGGTGTTAATTTTATGGAATGTAAGGGATGAGTCATAATCTGTGTGTTGGTGACCGATTCTATAATCCAAGGCTTTAACAAATTTTCGTTGCAGATTTTCAATTTTACTTTGATGAACCTGTTGATACGGATTCCAAACTGGACTTGCGAATTCCAGCCGACTTCGCACGTAACTGTTGAATAATAGTTTATAGGTAGAAGCGTTTTTAAATGGTTTTCCTACGCGTAATATTTTTATATTTTTTTAAATTTGTATGACCTATTAACAATCTTATCTATATGGGGGATAAATGAAAGTTTGGAGTCTATTACCACACCCAGGTCTCTAATCTCACTTACGCGATTCAGATCCTGTCCACAAATTTTATAAGGGTACGTTATTGGATTTCTTTTCCTTGTAAAAGAAATGGTAAAACATTTATCTGCATTCAGAAATAAATTGTTACTTTTACAAAAATCAACAAAATCATTTAAATCGCTTTGCAGTAACGCAGCATCATTTGTTTCCTTTACAACTCTGTATAACTTTGTATCATCCGCATATAGTAGTACGTTTGAGTGACTTATGGAGTTTGTCAGATCATTGATATAAATAATAAAGGTCCCAAATGAGATCCTTGAGGCACTCCAGAGGGTATATTCTTGTATATAGAACGGTAACCACAGAGTGTAACAGCCTGACTACGGTTTTCCACGTATGAACGTATCCATCGGAACAAGTCACCGTGAATTCCGAGCTGCCAGAGCTTAAGAAGTAGTGTGTTATGACAAATTTTATCAAATGCTTTCGCAAAATCTGTATATATAGCATCTACTTGTGCGTTATCATCCATTGCTGACAGTATAAGCTCCGTAAAAGTTAACAAATTGCTATCCACACCACGCTTTCTGCAAAAGCCATGTTGGTTCGGGACAATGACGCGTTGCACAACCCCAAACAGTTGATCAGTAACAATCCTTTCCTGTATCTTGGCGAAATGGCACAGTTTGGAAATCGGCCGATAATTAGTGACATCCTCACACACGTTACCCTTAGGTATAGGCGTTATCCAAGCATACTTCCAGACTTGAGGCACGCAACCACTGCTAAAAGATAATTTGAAAATGTGAGTGAGGGGATAGGTCAGCGCATCAACACACTTGCTAATTAACAGTAACCCTTGTTGACGTTAATTTTTTTTAAATATTTGTTTACCAACTTAAGGTGAATCTCGACGGAACCAATATCCAAAATTGTGTTTACGGGAGCGTCCCATTGATTAGGCAGCGATTGGCTAGTATTAATTACGAAAACCGAATGAAAGTGTTCATTAAAGAATTCACAAATTTGCTTCCCATCGCTACTACTTTTCCCGTTAAAGGTCATCGTTTGCGGTAGCCCATTATTAGCGTTAATAGCTTTGACATAGGTCCAGAAATACTTAGAGTTTGTTTGAATTTTATTTTCTACATACTGTATATAATTATTGTAACATTCGGTTTCCATGCGATTGGCTCTTTTTCTCAGAACACTGAAACTTTGATAATCCAAGGGATTCCCATACAACTTCCACAGTTTGTGATATTTTCTTTTTTCATTCAAAAGTTTTCTTAAGGGCTTAGTATGCCATACAGGAAAGGACTGCGAAGATCTGATAATCTTTCGAGGAACAAACTTTGTAATACAATTCCTTAAAATGCAGTAAAATTTCGAAATACATTCCTCTAAGCTTAAAGCTTTAAATATTTCAGGCCAGTCTATGTTTGTATGTTCCTCATTAATAGAAAGAAAATCTGCTGCACAGAAGTTATTATTATAGGTGGGTACTGAATTTAAAGACTTAAAGTTATCAATATTCAAACAAATTTCTATTGACTTATGATGGATATCCTCTTGGGTTAACGGTTGACAGCAACTCGTGACATTGCAGTTAATATTACTCATCACTAGGTCCAAGATTCTGTTGTTGGTGTTATAAGCACCATTAAACTGTTGTAGATTAGTGAACGCTTAAAAATCTCTCAACGATCTTACAGCATAGTCACCACCTTTTTGTAGTAATTTGCTGAAAGTGCGAGTCTCCTGCCAAACCGCTTCAGAAACATTAAAATCACCCACAATTAAAAATATATCATTTGACCGATTATTAAATATATCGCTAGCACAATTAAAAAATGCTTCCAGCGCGTCACGGTAGCCTGGCCCATGTGGTATGTAAACACAGGCGATATTTAAACATCTATTACTACTACCTGTATTCAGGGGTATGGATAGCCAAATGCAGTCGGAAGCAGCGCGCGGTGGCGTCGGCCTGTTCCGTCGCAGCGGCATCAATGTAGTACGCACTGCAACCATGACTCCACCGCCACTCATCGCACCGCTCTCCTCGTGCGAGCGGTCACAGCGAAACACAAAGTACCTACTATCAAAATACTCTCGGTCGTAAAAATCAGGTGTTAACCAGGTTTCAGTCACACATACAAAATCGTAGTCAGTTATAGCTATCTGGGATAGAAAGTCGAAAGCAGATCAATGAGTATATTGTTGGTCCAGATGAACAGGATATTATCTTATTATTTCGGCCGCTATTGTAATTTGGTTCTCCTCATTTATATATATTTAAAGCCAAACAACAAAACATTTAACATTATTTTAAAGCCAATAAGTGTAAAAGGGTGCACCAATTTATGTTCCAGTGTTTCTAATCTACTTAGTGAGAGACTGTTCTACACACTATTACGGCCATAAATTTAATCAGCACCTACGCAGCCTTCAACATTGTCCTTCGAGGAGCCTTCATCCAACAGTAGGGCATTTGTATGTCGATACCATACAAGATAATATAGTACATCTATAACTCGATGTTACAACACAAGTACAAATAACTTAATATATTTTTAAACCATAACCATTAGATATTACAAGATAATTATCTAAGGAACATCAATACGGTTCAAGTACGTTTCAATTGTGAGGTGGAAAACTGCTGCCTAAATTACCACCACCGGATCCCAATGATACAATGTAATACAATAATACTGTGATGTTATTGACAATAACCGCTCTCGCGATACGTTCCTCCTACCGCAAAATGGCGGCTATTTGGTTTCGAAAAATTTGAAAAGCATTCAGTTTAAATACAAGTTTTTATAAGTAAAAATTATTATTCTGCATTGCTAAATAAATACCCTCCGTACTACCAACAAAAACATCTCAAATAAAATGTAGTAATACACCGCAAATCCTGCACTTAAAAAGCACTAATGAAATTGTTGGTGTACTTGGATAAATATGATAATATTTCGTTTGAGTGGTTTTAACGTTTACCATGAAATTACTCCTTAAAGTATAGTTTATAAACATTTATATTCAGGGTAAACTTAAAAAACGCTACTTACGGTATGTTTTCAATAAATAAACACCGAAATCAGCAGCCCAAACAATAACACACACGATTGTCGTGATATAGTTTTGAAGTTGTTTATTTTTTTTAAATGACAGACCCAGGCGTTAAAAACTTTATGGTTTGCTAGAGTAGTTACCGAAATAGCAATTAATATTAGTTCTTTTACATGTTATAACTTCGATATCCGATAAATCGGTATAAAATCATCACCGGCACCTCTAGGTGTGGTATGCATCTACGGCTGCATGTATCGCGAGAGCGGATAGTAAGATGTTAAGGTTATATTGGTATGATGATATAGAAAATACACAAATTATTTATTGTTCTGAGAATAGGTGCTCGTAGTATGAGAAAAAAGATTCAGTAGAAAAAATCACAAGGCTGTTAAATATCATAAGTTCACACGGTATTCTCCTGCACGTTTTCTAACGTATTTGATTATAAGCGAATAGACAGCCGGGTGTTCACACGATTTATTTTTATGCGTTAAAAAGACAGCCGCAATATTCACACAGCAATCGTCCTGAGAACATGCGTGTGATGGATCCATGCTTTGTTGCACTTTTATATTGCATGACACAGATTTTATACTACATAACAGAAGGTATTGGGTTCAACCAATGAATCAAGAAACAGTGCGTCCAAACACGTATGAAAAATTATAAATCCGAGAAATAATGAAAAAATAAATTTCCATTATAATTTCTTTCCAACCCGCTTGTGTTGCGACGATTTTTAAACAATTCCATAATTTTGTCCCACAAAACGGGCCTTTGCTCCATTAAAGATAATATCAATAAATAAATCGTTGTCCACAGAAGATTCGCCGGTCATTTTGTATTAATAAAATTATTATTGCGTGCTTCGTCCTTCCAAAAAGATACTGCAATACCAGACGCCGCTTGTTCGGTGACTATTCAATAAAAAACGTATTACTTCACGCCGTAGAAAGAGATGCATTAATACTATGCGTCACTGCCCACCGAATACATTAAAATTACGTATAGAAATGTGTGCGTTTTTTGCAGGACAAACACCATGTGAACGGTTCTATATCTAAAGTATGCGCCACTGTTAATTTGGTAAGATTTATACTATAAAAAATCGTGCAGTACAACACAGTGTGAACGGGGGCTTACGAGTACTTATATTACGTTGAATTCACACGCATACAAACATAGAAGACAGACGAATGA